CCTGTAACTAATTTTGAATGTTTCTGTTTACGATTGCTGCTGTACCATGTTCGGGGTCCTACAGGATATAAAGACCTTAAAACTGTCAACGGTCAGGAATTCGCAACTTATAATCTTTTAGAAAACTATAATCACTGGGATGAAACCATGGAGGAAGCTGTGCAGTGCCAGTCACCAGCCAAAATTAGGGATCTTTATGCAACTCTCATATCGTCTTGCGGGCTATCTAATGCACATGAATTGTGGGACAAATATAAAGAGTACATGGCGGAAGATATTTTGCGAAGGTTACAGCAGACACACGTGAACATGACATACAATGAACACATTTATAATGAAGCACTTGGAAAAATTGAAGATAAAGTATTGGCAATGGTAGGCAAAAAATTAAGTGACTTTGGAATGATAAGCCCTCAGCGAACAACCGAAAATGAACTAAGTGATGAAATTATACGTGAAATAAACTAGGATATACCAGCTTTGCAGCAGCAAGTAGCCGAATTTGTACCCCGCTTGCTTCCCGAATAAAAACGAGTTTTTGACAAAGTATTAGGACAAACTGAATCTGGAAATGGTGCACTTTTCTTTTTAGATGCCCCTGGAGGAACTGGGAAGACATTTTTGTTAAATTTATTACTAGCGCAAGTACGGAAAGATAAAAACATTGCTGTGGCCGTGGCTTCCTCCGGTATAGCCGCCACGCTGCTAAGCGGAGGCCGCACTGTACATTCTGTTTTAAAACTCCCTCTAAATCTAGCCCTGGAATAATTGCCGATCTGCAACTTTAGCAAAAATAGTGCACGAGGTATAATGCTACGACAATGCAAACTTTTAGTGTGGGACGAAAGTACAATGTCGCATAAAAAAGCTGTAGAAGCACTAAATCGAACGCTCCAGGATTTGCGCAACAATACCGATGTAATGGGAGGAATGGTGGTTTTACTGGCTGGTGACTTTCGCCAAACTTTACCTGTCATTCAAAAGGGCACACCTGCAGATGAAATTAAAGCATGCCTCAAGTCGTCTATTTTATGGAACAAGGTGACAAAATTCAGTTTAACTATGAATATGAGAGTGCATTTGTATAATAATATCAATGCTGGAAACTATGCTGACACACTTAAAAATTGGCGATGGGCGGTTGGAAACGGATGCTGAGGGCTGCGTTAAATTGACGAGAGATTTTTGTAATTTAGTACAGAGTCATTCCGAATTAATTGCGAGCGTTTATTCAGATTTAACGAACAACATGCATGAAGACAAATGGTTATGTGAAAGGCGATTCTTGCACCAAAAAATGAGAGCGTTAACAAAATAAATTCAGATATATTATGCAAAGTAGCAGGAGAAATAACAGAGTATTTGTCAGTAGACACAGTTATGGACACAGAACAGAGCACTTCATATCACGTAGTTTCTAAATTCTCTAGAGTTGTCAGGTGTGCCCTCACATAAGCTTCAATTAAAATTAGGCGTCCCAGTCATGCTAATGCGAAATTTAGATGCTCCTCGGTTATGTAACGGGGCAAGGCTGCGTGTGACACATCTTGGACGGAACATAATCGGTGCTACAATTTTGACAGGCGTAGGAAAAGGTGAAAATGTTATTATACCACGGATCCCTATAATTCCCACAGATCTTCCTTTTCAATTCAAAAGGTTGCAGTTCCCTATTAAACTCAGTTTTGCAATGACAATTAATAAAGCGCAAGGGCAAACGTTACAGGTAGCGGGGGTCAACTTAGAAAAACCGTGCTTCTCTCATGGTCAGCTGTATGTAGCATGTTCGCGTGTGTCAAATGCCCAGAATCTCCACATTCTTTCCCCGAATGGAAAAACATATAACATTGTGTACAGTAGCGCCTTAAAATAGTGTTCAGTTTTTTTCAAAATTCCCACAATCAATTAATCAGAATTCCCACAGATCTTCCCTTTCAATTCAAAATTTCCTATTTAGCTCAGTTTCTTTTCAATTCCAAATGCTGCACCTCTGACAGACCTATTAAGCTCAGTTTCCTTTCAACTCAAAAGGCTGCATCTCTGACGGATCTTTTATTTGGCTCAATTTCTTTTCAATTTAGAAAACTGCATCTCTGACGAATCAATTTAGCTTAGTTTCTTTTCAAAAGTCTGCATCCCTGATGGATAATTATGCTCAGTTTCCTTTAATTAAAAAAATATACCATTTCCATTTGGAACAAATAGGCTATTTTCATGCTTTCCTATACGCTGCGTTTCAAAACATTTAAATAGGCTGACGAATCAATTTTGCTCAGTTTCCTTTTAATGGCTGCATGTCTGACAAATCTGTAAAACTCAGTTTTCTATCAATTCAAAAAGCAATGGATAGTTCATTTCCCAGTGACCATGCGGGTGAAGCCGCGACTAACAGCTAGTCTTAAATAAGATTACTGGACTCGCCGCACGAATAATTAATTCAAACGGTATAGCTGAAAATTACAATAGCATTAAAACAGCTTTGATTAATATTTTTTTCTGACCAGAGAGATGAGACCCCCTTTATAATGATCTCATGATAGCTACACAGGGGAATAGTTCATAAGTTCACCCCAAGAATTTTACAACCGATGTGTAAACTTGTTCAGCACTATCATGACATATGTCACCTTACACGAAACTCTCAATACGACAATTAAAGCTAAACGCGACCTTTACAGAAAGCATATGATACATGCATTTGTTCGCGAATTAAAAGAGCCTCTCGGCTCTCGCATACGATGCATGCGTCCTGATAGTGTTGGAAAGGCCCTTGAGTTTATGCAAGAAGAGTTAAATGTGATGTATCTTCAGAATCGTAGTGAATCTGCCGCAGGTAAGAAATCACAGGTACCACAGGTAGGTACCTAAAAATTTGCCCACGAGCCCCGTGCCCACGACCGCTTATAAAACATTGAATTTCCCCGCACTAACAATGCCTATGTCTAATTTTAAATTCTCTCAACAACAATGGCGGCCTATTAAAAATAGTGCTCCCGTATCGTATAGGCCCGTACGTATGCCGACACGCACACAACAGATATTCCGCATGCAACCACCTAACTATCATCCACAACAGAAGAGGTTCCGATTTTCAGCTAGGAAAGATTCTTATAATTCGCGCCCTAAGCCTATAAATTGTGTAAGGTGTCACGATTGGCGAAAGCTCGGAAATCCGCCACCATCTAACTATTTTAAGACTAGGGAGATGAACATGAATGAATTTGTGAACTATGGTGATGGTTATTTTTTTTATAGTATAGGGTGACAAACGAGCACAAAGTTCACCTGGTGGTAAGTGGTTGCTGTGGCCCACAGACATCTACATCTATCCTCGTTTGCAAATCAAAATGCAAATCACCCGTGAGGACTAAGATGGCATGCCTCTTCATTCTACTAGTGCTAAGAGAGTGTCGTGGTTCAGTTCGTTGCTGTAATTCTTCTAGTGCAGGCAAAGAGAATTGGTGTTGCTAAGAGGCTGCCCTGTGTTACAATGAGATAAGTAGTGTTGCTGATGGTTTACATATTTTGGTGTTATCATGTATTTACGTACCTCACGTTACACTGGTGTGTGATTGTGGCGGAGACGTGTTACGGTGTGGTCGAACTGTAATTTCACTATACTGAATGTATAGTGCGTTACGTTGTCTTATTACTTATAATGATAAATGGCGTAAGCAAGAGAGCAAGTTGAACATCCGCTCTCACACTTTTATTATTTTTAACAATTAATACTATCCTGATGTATTTCCGAGATCAAAATCGGGATCCTCTGTTGTAATCTCCGACATCAGAAGTGGGATCTCCTGTTGTCATCTCTGACATACTAATTGCTTACTAATGCTTAGATAGAAATTTACAATAGCAATAGATGTGCTTCAATTGTGGACACGTAATAAGCCATACCCATTTAGGGTAAACCACCGAATTGTTGACACTTTAAAGTGAGCTTCGTGTCAGTCTGAAATTAAATAACTATAAAATCTCATTTACAAGAGCTAGTACACAAAACATGTGACAGAATCAAAGACAATACTTTATTCTTTGTTTTTATAACCATTTTTATGTGATTGAATAGTTTTAAATAAACATTATACACTTAAATCCTAAGGACTACAGAAAATCCTATTATTGGCATGGAAATTCTCAATATTGGCATCTACTCGTCTAATTATTGGCATGTAATTAAAGTTGGAGATAGGTACCTACCTACGAGTATCAATGAAATAAAAGAAATACCTACCTACACCAGGGGTATAATTAAAACACTGTTTTACTAGGTAAATATCTGCTTTTATTTAGCTTACCTTAAAGTCTTAAAAGTTTTCAAAAAATTACCTAAAAAATCAACTTTTATAACATAAACACTTTCACGTACTCGTTTTAGCAGTCTCACTTTATCAGTACTTAAATGGCTATTCTTGAGATCTTTTAACTTAATAACTACCTACAAAATATTAATCTATCTGATTAAGAACCTACTCAACTTAATAATCTCACTATCTATTTTAGTATTTTATGTAGGTAGTTCGCAGTCTAACTGGAACCGATCAAATATCCCATATTAAGCAAATCCTAATCATCGGTCAACATCTTCTCAATTTCAGTTATGCTTAAGTTTTTGTTAGCTCTGATATGACCATCATCATCATCAGGAGAAATGGCTCCTCTTCATGAGTATTGCACTATGCTTCCTCAGAATATAAAATATTTTTCAAAATACTTTTGGTATCCTCTTTCTTTGGTTTGTTTAGCACTTGCTTAATTATTTTATTCATAATATCACATTTTTTTTCTTTTTTAATACTGTTAAAATTAAGATTTTGTTTGTGACTATTTCCTCTGTAATTTTCTTTATTAATTTCCATTTTCTCTGTATTAATTTGTTCTTGTTTCAATTCTACTTTAGTTTTATCTTCTTCTTGTATTAATTCTACTTTATTTTTATCTTTTTCTTGTATCAATTCTACTTCATTTTGATCTTTATTTTTTTCTTGTTTATTCTCTAGCGTAATGTTTAAATTGTAAAAATCTTTCGATAATAATATTCTATCTATTAGCTTTGTCTATTTTTTTTTGTTGTCCTTTTCTTTCTTTGCTTTAATTTTTTTACGTTCTTCGTCCTTAATACTCTTTTGATGTAATTACATAAGGCGTCTTCTTAGTTTGTTTCACTCCCTTCCTTTGAGGTGTTTTAGGTAGCACTAATATATCATCTAGTTTTGTTTCTCGTACATTTATCTTTATAGGGGTAGTGAAAGTTGGATTTCTTGCAGTATCCAAAAGTTCAATTTTGTTAAAATCCTGTTGAGCTGGGCAAACTACAATATTTCTAGTAATTGATTTGTTTGAACTATTATCTAATCTGCAGTCATTTCTTTTTTTATATGTTTCGATTTGTGGAGTATAAGTAACTTGTACACATTCAGTTGTTTGAGTATCTACTTTAGGTGTATAACAAAATATGTTTTCAGTGTTGTTAGGAAAAGAATCAGTTTGAGAATCATTTATAGCCGTGATGTCTTCTATATTGTCCATAACAATTTCCTGATTGAAGACTTCTTGAGCTAGAGGAATATGACATGTACTGTCAAACTCATCACACATAATTACATCCATATTTTCAATGTCCAAAAGGTGTTTTTCTTTAAGAGTAACATCCGATTTTTTTTTCTCATTGATTTCTTTATATATATAGTTGTCTTTTCTTTTAGAAGTAAGAAAACCGATGATAACTCTGATACAAATGTATCAGAGTTATCCTTTCTGTTCATTATTCTCGAAGTTCCCGGTATTGCTTCAATTTTGGGCTTATTCTTCAGATTCTTCCCCAAGCATTTCGAGTAGTCTATAGCATTTGAGTCCCATGGACAAAGACCGGTAGCCCGGAAACCATTAATAATTGTATCTGGTTTTACACATTTATTAATAGTTTTTTTGCAATAGTGGCACAAAATCGACTTTTGCTAGAGCTCGAGATGGATTGTCACGCTGCCACTCTAAGACCGTCTTCTGCCAACCACCTTTTAGAGGTCTAAAAGCTGAGACATCTGCAGGCTGAAGTAATCGATTGCAATTGGGATAAAGTGCTATGAGCACAATATCCAATGAGGAACAAAGCTCACTGACGGTATAAGTGAGGTGAGTTTTGTGTCCGTTTACAATTAAAATAACCGGGAATGGTACTTCATTCCGCACGAGATATGGATGTAACACTTTTTCTATATATTGAGAGAAAATTTCAGTTTTCATCCAGCCATTCTCACTTAGGCCTATACCTCAATCTGGTGGTACCTTTGAAGCAATTTCACTTGGCAAGCGCTTGTACGGGAATATCACCATAGGTGGGGTGATTTCACCATTGGCAGCAAAAGTAAACATCACTGTTAGTGAACTTCTAGCTGGGGTGTGGTCAATTTCGTAAACATTCTTTGCACCCTTTGGTGCCAAGACCACACCTGTCTTGGCACAGAGAACAAAATTGGTTTCGTCACCATTCAAGACTCTTTTCGGGTCTGATAGAATTTCAAACAAACCGTGATCTTTCAGATACATTTCAGTTGCTTGAAACCATCCTTTTATATCATTCTCTGATACGGCAGCACTTGCCGCTGTTACAGCTTCAGGAGTTCTCACAACAATTTCCGGGTGTCGTTGTAAGAAGAGCTTAAACCATTTATCGCCGGGAATGTTGTCTCTGAACGGGTTAGATCGGCAGTTTTTTCTTATAAATTCTGATACGCAATTCAAAAGATCTTCTTTCCGTTTAGGAAAACCCTTTGCATGGCTAACATTTAACCAATTCTTTAATTTATCCTCTTCGTCTGCGTTAAGTACTGGTTTTGGACCAGGTTGAGGATTATGGTCTGGTTTCTTAATGCGAAATTGTAACGTAGCTCGAGGAACCTGATATTGTTTCGCTACTTGCTTTTTGGCTATGCCATTTTTAATCGCGTCTAAAGCTTTTTTTTATATTTTCCTCACTATATTGTTTTCGTTTACTTTTTTCTATTTTCTCTCTTGACTTCTTTTTATTGGTGTCTTTTTGATTTCGTTCCTTCATTGCTTACGACGTACTCTAAATAAATAAAAAAACCTATTATTAGCACTCAATATTCTATTATGGGCACTACTGCCAATAATTCGCTTTTGCTATTGGCACTGTGGGCCAACATTTGGAAATTGCTATTAAGAAGAAAATATTCGATGGGCAACTTAAAACATTTACAAATATATCATCGCTTGTTGATAATATTTGAAAAATTCATATTATTGGCATTAGTGCCAATAAATGGGATTTTGATGAAATTTTTGTTTCATATGTTGGCACAGGTAATAAACAAAATGTGATAAAAATATTCAAGAAATAATCTTTGAATCTACTGCCTAAAGGTGTAATTAAGTATATAAAATTATTTCGAAACTAAAAATTACCCGAATAGCTGCATATACTATGATTAATAAAGCTCTCACCTTAAGAAAACCCCAAAATAACTACACCAAATCACTAGCAAAAAATGTCAGCTGTTGTTTTTAAATGGTTTTTAAATTTCCATATTGGTTATTGCAACAGTGCTGCCAATTTTTAACAGAAAAATAATACTATTTTACTTTTTAATGCCTACCGAAATTGAATAATCTATGGTTTCCTTATTTTTTTGAACTAAACACTAAAGTGCCAATAATAGGAGGAGTGCCAACGATTGGGTAGTTTACCCTACTACTCAATGTTATAATAATATTATAAAGTGTGAAATGTTTTGAATTTGTCGATGTAATTGTTTTCAAATTAACGACATTTTATTTTATGTTAGTCTGAATTTGAAATGTAATTGTCAATGTTTTTACAATAATGATTACTCAGTGATAAAATAAATTTATTAAACCAGAAACCAGCAGATAATAAACATTAAAAAAATCATTTATTTATTTAAAAAAATTATATTTTATATGTTATAGAAAATAATATTTTATTAATTAATTAGCCCGTCTCCTCGACTTCGCCCACGTGTAATTTAGGGTTTTACCTTTTTGCGCGAGTCTAAATATTTTCCTAAAATCAAAGTAGTCTAAGCTACTACTTTTAACATCAACTATCTGCCAGTGAAAGACCCATCAAAATCGGTTCAGCTATTTCGGAGATTAGCCAAAACAAACAGACAGACAGACCGAAAAAAAATTACAAATTGTGTTTTAGTTATATGTACCGTATATACTTTCATATGCATTCAGTAAACATTACAAACAGACACTTCAATTTTATTTATTTGTATAGATATAGATAATAACATGAACACGGTAACGCAGCAAATAATATTACTTCAAACATATGTATACTAAACATACTTTACGAGAAACGAGATGGTTAGCGTAGCTGGTCAAACTACGTGAACGCTCTAAGGCTCTAAGCTAATGAGAACGCACTCTCATATTCATTCCTTCCTGTTTTCTTTCTCGTTCTATTTTAAGGAATATTTTTAGGGTATCTGGCAGTTTTTTTCACCGGCGAAATGATCTGGCTTTTTGGGGTTATTATGGAAAAAAATGTACTTGACACGCTATTAAATTTTCAGTGTGGATTAATTTTTTTTTTTACATGTCATAACATATTTTGAAGCAGTGTACTATAAAGGATTATCATAGACTTAGAATATACTGGCGTATAGACCACCTGACAGCCCGAAAACGAGTAACCAATTTTGATTTGTTACTGTTAACTAGTGATGTATATTTTACTTACAAGGACTATCGAAAATGATTGTTAAGGAATCGGTAAAAAAAATTAAAAAAGTGTTTAGTGCATGAAGTTAAATAACTTCAAAAATTAACTTAATTTTACCATGATAGTCATCGATCACTAATAAAAAACCAGATACACAATCAGTGAAAAAAATTGCATAACCGAATGTGCACCCACTCGAACATATGGGTGCACTTTTAATCTAGTAGCATTCGAATGCTCCGACCTATACCTGCCTTTTGTTGGATTTCAATTAAAATGTATAAAATCCTAAATGACTTTACCGATAAGCTTAAAAAACTCCTTAATAATCAGATCGGAAAGTTGTATTTTCGAGCTATGATCTTTGGGGAAAAATATTTACTGCCGTGGGCAGTGTCCCCGGAATTTCTTTTTAACATATTGTTAATATAAATAGGTAGATACTTAACTAAGTATATACCTATTTATATTTTATATATTTTATAAAATGTTTTGATGGAGAAATAAAAACGGGGACACGGAGTAAATAATGGCTGCTTAATTTTTCATATAAGTATTACTTGTGATAATTATAAACATTTAATAATTAATAATTAAATACATTACAGAACTTTATTTTAACATTCAACTTAAGTATAAATGTAAATTTAATAATTCAAGGTAGGAAACTTGTAGGAATTGGTTAAATAAGATTGCTCTGCTTAAAAGCCAATATGTTTATGAGGCTTCATCATGCTTTATGTTTATATTCTTTCATCATCCCTGAAAGTATAAAGTAATAACATAACATAAACACTCACGCCTGTCACCCAGAGGGGTAGGCAGAGACTACGGACTTCCATTTGGCGCGATCCTGACACACCTCTCTCGCCTCTTTTACATCCATATATCTACGCATACACGCTCGTCGGTTAAGGGTACTCCTAATCTGGCCCATTTTTAATGTATCGCCGATTTGGTCGATAAACCTTCGTCTAGGGCGTCCCTTCTCGACCCTGCCGTTCACTTCCGCAACATAAATTTGCTTTGTCACTCTTTCCTCGTTCATTCTTTCTACATGACCAAACCACCGAAGCATTCCTTTCTTAATCCTTGTCCTTGTAAAGTAATAATAAACTTATTATCATTTTAGCTGCATGAATTTTATAAACAATGATCTTAACACAGTAAAGTGGACTAAGTGTCTGAAGATACAGATGGAGAATGCATATTATTCTCTCAATCTCGGTGTGTTAAGAAAATGGTCACTCAACCTAATCTCGTAGATCTATTGATATGTGCAGCTATTACTTAACCACGAATTCCTCGTCTCTACGACTAACGATGTAAGCATGAACCAAGCTATTTAAGCCCTCGGCACAATGTCGATGACCATCAAGCATGAATCGGGCATCGACCGTTGTGTGTATCAAATACTACGGAATTTATACTATCATACTATCATTACTAAATATCTATACCTAACTACGCTAAAAGTTTTATCATTGTGACTTGGGAATGTTACGAGCTTAATATAGTTTTATAATGTATGATCTGTCTCTATATTTATCTAGGGTTGGACTTAGAATCGTTTGGCAGGAATTTGGGGAAGTCAGGTGTTTTATTTGATAGAGGTTTGGTCCGCGATTATAATAATACCACTAAAATTTAAAGGTAATGCACCGTTATCGAATAAATAAATAAAAACTATTATAACCTAAAACGCGTAAAACATGGAAAAATGTATGCAATATTACTGTGAAAGGTGGATAGCATACAGAATTTTGTATAAGTGTGACAAGGACGTAAGAATAGTGTCACATTATTCTACTGTCTATACTCTCTGTCAAGTGTCAAATAAGAAATTATTATAATATTATAACTGTTTTATTTCACAATTGTTTAAAACTGCCCAGAAATACTTGAACGAAGGCAGCCTGGCTTTATAGATAAGATATCTGATCTGATTGAATCTGTACTAAAATTAAATTAGCACGCCCCGACTCCACGTAGTCTTGTCTGCCCTAATCCTAGAGTTTTTTTGTAAAGCCGTAGGCGCGGAACGCAAGGTTACGCTACGCAAGGGCGAAGAGGCTGTACTCCCTGTTGCGCCGAAGCCGTTGTAGAAGTAACTTTGGTTCAATATTCCTGTGTGAAAAAGTGAGGTTATGATTTTAAAAAAAAAAACATTACTCATAAACTATACTTTTCCCGCAAGGAGGAAAGGGTGCCCACCATTCCTGCCAAACGATTCTAAATTTCAACCTTTATCTATATTTATCTAAAGCTTTTGAAAGTTAAATTTTGAAGTCTTATTATAACAATATTTTACTTACTGGTACAAATAATATAACAATGACTTCTTTTAATAAAATTGTTTTATAAATATTAATAATAAAAATGTTTGCTGCAAATTGTTGAGTTCTTCTTTGCATTACAACCAACCCGTCCAATGAACCTTAACAATTTTTTCTAATTATAGAATCCGGAGGGAATCTGTTTGACAAACATTCAAGATTCATTTGACAGACAAGTCTATGAGGATTACTATCACTTGATACTGAAAATATATAAGAACGAAGATCCCGAATGAAATGAAGACATGTTTTTTAAACAAGCATCCAAGCCAAAAATTTAATAAAAATCAATAGTTTGTTTGATCCATAGTCTGTGGTTTGATCCGGAACGTTCAAAAATGTAATTGCGATCGAATTTTGGCGGGGACTTGATCGGCGGCGGCTTGCTGCTCCTGTATTATTATTTAGATAATGGTTTGAAGTGGACTTTGATATATAAAAGTGGTGCGATTTTGTGTATTAAGTGTCTGCGCATGTGAACTATTAGTGGAAACTGTGAAACAAGTGCTCTGATGGTGATGGATTCTCAAGACAAGCTGTTTGTTTGCTGTCAGCTGCCTGCTGGCTCAAGTTGCCGTCAAAATCTCCTAAGGGCTGCACAATGTGACGCATCAGCTTATTGTGAAGCAGTGAACTATGAAGGATAATTACACATGAAGACAAGGCTGTATGGCATAGTTCCTTTGCCTGCTCTCTCGAGCGAATGATAAAAACAACAACAATGAAATTGCGATCATCATTCATCAATACTTTAATATGACTTTTTTAGTGTAAATTTTTGTTACCTACCTTATAATTAAAAGGGTTTATTTATCTCTTCTAATCATCAATATTCGAAAAGTTTTCGCCAGCCTCAGAGCTCTCGTGACGTTTCCGATGCAAAGTGTCACAATTATCGAAAACAAACGTCAAAGAAGTACGGTCACGCCCCATAGAAAAAAACCCAGACCCGACAGAAACGAGACATATCTCAGTTTTTTGTTATTTATTATATAGTTAAATTATATATTTATCGATATCATTATATCGATTATTCGATATCAATGGCTAACTCCAAAATATTGCATTATGTTTTTGTTCAGGCGTTACTCTAAAAAAATATAAAAGCCTATTTATCTACAAAATTCGTAAATGCATGTAACTAAATGACGATACAATAGTTATGGGATGTATCTAAGTGACCTTTACCGAACGTTAAATGTGAATAGCGTTTATTGGTTTCGGTGCGAGAAGTTATCGAATCCGAGTCGATTTCGCTTTCCGAGACGATTGTGAATAGCCCGGCGGGTCAAATGAACGAATCATTCACGATTGACACATCTCTATTATCCATAGATTACTGTAGCTGTACCAACATATATATTTATCTATGAGCTGTACTATTATCTCTCTGACTAGTATACAGTTATCTGTGCTATTATCTATGCGGTGGTTGTGTTCATAATAGTTCATAGATAAGAGTCACAAACTATTATTTCTATCTATTCT